TATCATTTGACCCTTTAACTCCAGAATAATTAACCTCTTACTTCTCACGGTATAATATCTATACATAACTCAGTAAACAAGAAGTGAGTAGACTCAAACTTATCGGGTATATAGAGGCCACTATCTTGGCCAAACACTAAATTGTCTGAACAAACTTACAAAGAAATGTGTAGCAGCTAGAGAAGGGAATTAACAATCCGAGATCTCAGGAGTTATAGGGCCATAGGCCTCGTGTTCAGGCAAGCTTCATAAACAAAATACACTTACCTGATGCCGATGGCATGCACACTGAAGGCGTCTCATTTGATGTAACTTTAGCAGCCACGTAGGTTGAAACACTTGCCTTTCCTATGAAGACTGCGCTAGAGGAAGGAAGAGGGCTGTGAAGCCGTGGTGAGATTTCGGAAATAAAGGAAGAATGAGCGCTGTATGAGGATCTGGAAATATTCACAGAGTTATTGCCACCATCCATAGATTGAGAAAGTGCTAGAGTGGGGGAATTTGCTGAGATGTTCATATTCTTTGTTGGTAAAACCGTTGGTGATTGAGTCATTGATCGGAAGACCGAGGTTTCTGATCTGGTTTGGTACAAACTAGAATTGTTCGAGACAGCCAAGATACGGCTCTGACTCACAGAGGGAAATAATGACCGAGTTATGGAATTGAACGAGGTTGCTACTGAGACACTATTTTGTGACTGAACCATTGACGTGGCCGACACAGGTTGTGACGAAGACGAATCTGTAGTGTTGGATTCCACAACAGAGGGGTTGCCTTTCTTTGCAGACGGTAATGATGAGGGGAAAGCCTTGGTGGTGACATTTGAAGTTGTTGCCGCGACAGTTGCTGATAGACTCATTGATGTGGAAGACACTGCATGTAACTGTGAGGAGTTCCCATTACTAGATATCATAACAGAGCCAGAAGCATCAGCTGCGGTGTCCATAGCTGTCACTGAGACAGTTGCTGATGGACTCATTGATGTGGAAGACACTGCATGTAAATGTGAGGAGTTCCCATTACTAGATATCATAACAAAGCCAGAAGCATCAACTGCGGTGTCCATGACTGTCACTGAGACAGTTGCTGATAGACTCACTGCAGTGGATGACACAACTAGTAACTCGTTGGAATTCCTTTTAGTAGATGTAACAACGGAGCCAGAGGTATTAGCTGGTGTGTGTTTCGCTGATACTGTGGAGACAGTTGCTGATATTTCTTGTTTTTGTTTTGTTATAATTTTCTAACGGGTTTTTTTTTTTTTTCATCTTTGTATTCTTTGTTTGTTTGTTTGTTTGTTTTAAGTTAAAACGTACTTTTTAATTAGCCGTCTGTACACGACTGTCCCCTAATTAGAACTGACACTTTGGTAAGAATCGGTCAGAGCTTGTCAATGCTGATAATGATCGATACATATAAAGCTTTTTGATATAAAAAAAGACCAATAATTCGACTGAACCAAAGTAATGTTTTTTTCTATGAGAGAAAAAGCAAATGTTCGACTGCACGCCATAGAGAATAATTCGCACATGTATCCTCTTTTAGCCGACTATTTCTTTATACTAACATACAATCAGTCCGGAAAAGTTCCCGCATAATATTATATTGGTAGTTTTATGCTCACGTTATCGATAACTAAAATCAGACCTCTGAATGCGGGAAGCTTCCTAATGTGGTCGACTCATTGCATATGCGAATAAACGACCTTCTCAAGTCTCAAGTCTAAGCAGTTTCAATTGATAAGTTTTTCTCCCGAAGCGTTCGAAAGAAATTCACTGAAGTTGGTGTACAAGGTGTTAGTTTAGNAGCACACGAATGAATTCGGTTGCCATAGACCTTATTGCCGGTTTACTAGGCTCATTTTAGCGAAACCTTAACCTAAGTCGCCTTTCCCCCGTGACTTGAAAGTCAGACTTGCTTGATGAAAACAAAAGATGGCGAGTTAGGTATCAAGCCCGCTTATATCATATTTCCATTGTGAGGCGTTCTTCGCGATATAATCATTGTCTTCGTTGATGCTCTTTTTTGGCAACTGCAAAATTCAAGCCGTATTAACTCACTGGATCAAATTTTTAAATTAATGGCCGCAGGAGAACCAAGCTGAATTCGCGATTCAAAAATCTGCGCTACCGTTTGCAACGATCACTTGGCAAATTACGAAAAGCAGTTTACTTTCCTGAATTTTAACGTTAGAGAAAGAAAACGAACGCATCGTGTTTTCATTTGCTTATCGAGGCACTCAAAATGAACTGTTCATTTCCTTTCCCGTGAAAAGCAAGTAGTTATTCTCCGTATTGCTCATAAAACAATTTGATGGCCAACTGACCAAACACAGTTAACCAAGCTTACCTCCTAGCCAAACGGTAATGGCGAGCGTATAAACCAAAACTTTCAAGCTGCTCATTGCGAAGGAAAATGAATTTCCTCCGGCGCCCACGATAGCTGATCGGGATGATGCGGAAACGATGAAAAGTTTTCAAACAGAAATATATTTACTGCTTTCCGGCGACAGCCTACTGCGGCAATTGTGGGTCAGGTTACTGAAAGAGGCTGACTGATTTGGCGACCGGCGATTTCAATGGCCACAAACCAGAGTTAGAATCCCTTGCGAGTTGCGCTGGAATATTGTAGGCGATCGACTCCGTAATGAACCAGCGCTCGTGCCCACATGACTCCCTCAAGAGAACTGAAAAAATTCAAATTTTTAAATTAAAAATCGAAGGATGTAAATAAACTCCGTGGACCCGAAAAATTTGAAATGACACTTTTGTAATGAAACTCCAAAACCAAAACCTTTTTCTCAAAATAATGTATGATCGATTTTATCTTAACAGCTTAGTCTTAATTACTGTACAAACAGAAAAATAAAAGCTCCAAAAATATAATTCCAACGCATCGAAAGACGTAGGCTAATCGCGAAGATGTGAACTATCTCTTGATAATCTTACAATGACGCGAAAAAAATCCGTTATAGTTTAATTTATCGAAATCGAGAGCCTTGTTAAGCTTAGGAGGTTTTTAAGGCTTTTAGCCTGTTAAAGGTTGTGGTTTTAATAATACAGTACTTCGATATCTGAGATGTAATTGTAAACAAAAAATACAATGCCCTATCTAGTGCCAGTATATTTTGTAAACATGGTCCCGCATAATTTTATTATATGCAGTCAAATCGCTTTGACACTGCACCTACGCATCAAAATATCTCACGTACGAATGAAGATTTTTTATAATCTTACTTCTAATCGCCTCATAAAAGAGAGGAACTTGACAGCAATACGGTATTTTTTCATTCGTCTTCGATGGTTCTACAAAAACTTAAGGTGTAAATAAAGGTTCTGGAAATTAGATAAAACGTAATTACGCTTACACTTGGTATTTGTGAGGCGAATTGGCAGGTTTGTAAACTAATTATGGATTCGTA